AATTAATATTGTCAAAATGGCCATCCTGCCTAAAGCAATCTACAGATTCAATGCAATCCCTATCAAAATACCAACAGCATTCTTCAAGGAACTGGAACAAATAGTTTTAAAATTCATATGGAACCGCAAAAGACCCTGAATAGCCAATGCAATCCTGAGAAGAAATAATAAAGCAGCGGGTATCTGACTCCCAACTTCAAGCTCTACTACAAAGCCACAGCAATCAAGACCATTTGGTACTGCCAGAAGAACAGACACACAGACCAGTGGAATAGAATAGAAAGTGCAGATATTAACCCAAACATATATGGTCAATTAATATACAATAAAGGAGCCATGGATACAGTGGGGAAATGACAGCCTTTTCAGCAGCTGGTGTTGGCAAAACTGGACAGCTACATGTAACAGAATGAAACTGGATCATTGTCTAACACCATACACAAAAGTAAACTCAAAATGGATCAAAGGCCTGAGTGTAAGTAATGAAACCATAAAACTCTTAGGAAAAAATATAGGCAAAAATCTCTTTGACATAAACATGAGCAACTTCTTCATTAACCTATCTCCCCGGGCTATGGAAGCAAAATAAAAAATGAACAATTGGGACTATATCAAGTGGAAAACCTGTACAGCACAGGAAACCATCAATAGAACAAAAAGACATCCTACAGTATGGGAGAATATATTCATAAATGACATGTCCGATAAGGGGTTGACATCCAAAATATACAAAGAACTCACGCACCTCAAAGAACAAAAAGAAAATAATCCAATTAAAAAACGGGTAAAGGATCTGAACAGGCACTTCTGCAAAGAAAAAATTAAGACTGCCAACAGGCACATGAAACTATGCTCCACATCGCTAATCATCAGAGAAATGCAAATTAAAACCACAGTGACATATCACCTCACACCCGATAGGATGGCCACCATCCAAAAGAGAAACAACAACAAATGTTGGTGAGGATTTGGAGAAAGGGGAACCCTCCTACACTGCTGGTGGGAGTGTAAATTAGTTCAACCATTGTGGAAAGTTGTATGGAGGTTCCTTAAAAAACTCAAAATAGAAATACCATTTCACCCAGGAGTTCCACTCCTCAGAATTTACCCTAAGAATGCAGGTGCCCAGTTTGAAAAAGACATATGCACCCCTGTTTATCGCAGCACTATTTACAATAGCCAATAAATGGAAGCAACCTAAGTGTCCATCAGTAGATGAATGGATAAAGCAGATGTGGTACATATACACAGTGGAATATTATTCAGCCATAAGAATAAAACAAATCCTACCATTTGCAACAACATGAATGGAGCTAGAGGGTATTATGCTCCGTAAAATAAGCCAGGTGGAGAAAGACAACTGTCAAATGATTTCACTCTTCTGTGGAGTGTAATAACAAAGAAAAAACTGAAGGAACGAAACAGCAGCAGACACACAGAACCCAAGAATGGACCAACAGTTACCAAAGAGAAAGGGACTGGGGAGGATGTGTGGGAATGGCGATGTAAGGGGGGAAAAGGGGCATTACGATTAGCACACATAATGTTGGGGGGCATGGGGAAGGCAGTACAACACAGAGAAGTGGTGATTCTATAACATCTTACTATGCTGATGGACAGTGACTATAATGGGGTATGTGGTGGGGACTTAATAATGGGGGAGTCTAATGGTCCCAGAAGATGACTGGTTAGCCAGAGACGGGTAAGAATCCTCAAGGAAGGAACAACCTAAGACAGACACAGTCGCAGGGGGGCCATTAGGAGAGAAATTGGGGACCAACAGAGGGGAGGCTTAGAACCTCACCCCCCCTGTTTTGAGAGAAATCTTCTGCATCTGTGGATGTTTTGTTGCCCTTGTCTAGCTTGGATTAATACTTAGTCTATAGGCACAGACCTGATCATCTACATTTGCCCTCTTACAGCACTAAATTATGTTTTCTACCTTTATCTTGCATCTACCTACCACTTCAGCATTTTATTTAAAAAAATAATAATAATAATAATGGAGAAATGTGGGATTCACATATAAATCAAGTATAAAAATCAAACGAATAATCATATCTGACTTGATTGTTTATAGTTCATGATGCGTGATCAAAACCGAAAGTTTCTGTGATATGACTGCCCTTGCACTGTTCACCATGTAAGAACTTATTCACTATGTAAGACCTTGTTCACCATGTAAGAACTTGTTTGTTATGCTTCAGAAGATTGGAGACTGTTGTGATATAGGCTTGGGGTTAATTAATGACTGTGCATTGAGTCCCCTATACAGAATTTTATTGTTGTTAACAACCATTTGATCAATAAATATGAGAGATGCCCTCTCCAAAAAAAATAAAATAAAATAATGGGGGAGTCTAGTAACCATATTGTTGCTCATGTAATTGTACATTAATGATACAAAAAAAATTGCACAGATTATGAGTTAGTTATAGAGAATATCAGGTACACTCATATAGGTGTAATTGAAGTCTACAGGACTGGTGTAATTGAAGAAATAATGACTAAATTGTTTCCAAATTTGATGAAAATTATGAACACAGATACAAGAAGCTTAGTGAACCTCAAGGAAAAGAATGATGAAGAAAAACACAGAGGCACATCATTATCAAATTGCTGTAATACAGTGATAAAGAATTTTACAGATAGCCAGCGGGAGAAAAAAATTACTCTAAGTGAAAAAAAGATCAACAGTAAACACCTTATTAGACTCAATGAAAGTCAGAAGACAGTAGAATGACATCTTTAAAGGACTGAAATAAAAAAACTATCAATTTGCTAACCTATACTCAACAAAAATAACTTTGAACAATGAATGCCTAATACTATTTTCAGACAAAAAATGGAGAAAAATGTTCATCAGCAGAGCACCTTGACAAGAAATGTTAAAGGAAGTCCTTCAAGCACAGGGAAAATGATATTGGATGTAAACTTGTATCTAAGCAAAAGAATGAATAGCACCAGAAATGATAAATAAGTGAATTTAAAACATTGTATTTCTTTAAAAACAATACTGTATTTAGAGGATTTATAATATATGTAAAAGTAAATAAGTTTGGCAGAAATAGCAAAAAAAATGGAGAAATGGAAATATATTCTCATGAAGTTTGTATGCTATATGTGATAAGATATATATTATTTGAATGTAGACAGTGATAAAGATAAAGAATACTGTAAGACTTATAGCAATCATAAAAAAGAAGTATACTTAATAAGCCAGTCAAATAGATAAATACAATCATGAAAAATAATTAATCCAAAAGGAAAAGAGAACAGAGGAAAAGGGGAACAAAGACAGTATGGGACATATAGAGAACAAAGAGCAAGATGGTTAATTTCAACTCAAACACATAGATAATCACATTAAATATAAATGGTCTAAACACTTCAGTTGAAAGGCAAAACAAAGATTGTTACACTCTGATTTAAAAGAACAGACCCAATTATATATACTATTTATTTTTAAAAAATTAAATGGAAACAAATTTTTAGATAAAGTGAAAGAATGGAAAGATATTCATGTGCTCTGTAATCAGAAGAAAGCTGGAGTAGTTATAGTAGTATCAGATAATATAGCCTTCAGAACAGGAAGGATTAGTAGAGATTAAAATATTAAAATAATAATAAAGGTATCAGTTCATCAAGGTGTAACAGTTTATTCATCAGTGGGACATAACAATCCTAGATGTTTATGTACCTCCTAGTAGAAATTCAATATACATGAGGAAAAACTTAAGCAAATGAAAGGAGAAATCAACAAATTCACAATTACAGCTGGAAATTTTGGCCTGCCTTCCAAGATAATTAATATTAGAAGTAAACAGAAATTCTCTGAAGATATAGTAGATGTGAACAACTAAATTGAGCTAAATTGAATTTATTTAATGCTCCACACATCAATGGGATACTATTCAGCCATAAGAAGAAAACAAATCCTACCATTTGCAACAACATGGATGGAGCTAGAGGGTATTATGTCAAGTGAATAAGCCAGGCAGAGAAAGACAAGTATCAAATGATTTCACTCATCTGTGGAGTATAAGAACAAAGAAAAAACTGAAGGAACAAAACAACAGCAGACTCACAGAACCCAAGAATGGACTAACAGTTACCAAAGAGAAAGGGACTGGAGAGGACGGGTGGGAAGGGAGGGATAAGGAGGGTGAAGAAAGGGGGCATTATGATTAGCATGTATAATGAGAGGGTGTACGGGGAGGGCTGTATAACAAGTAGTGACTCGGTAGCATCTTACTACGCTGATGGACAGTGTAATGGGGAATGTGGGGGGTCTTTGTGATGTGGGGAGTCTAGTAAACATAATGTTCCTCATGTAATTGTAGATTAATGGTACCAAAATTAAAAAAAAATAAAAAAACATGGGTGAATCTTGAAAATAATATGCAAAGTGAAAGAATCCAATCACAAAAGACCTATTTTGTATTATTCTATTTATATGAAATATCTGAAATAGACTTTTGCTGATACTATTCATAAAGAATTACTTTCTATTTGGTTTTCCTAAATTGCTGGGATGCAAGCTGTGGTCATTGCTATGATGAAGGGAGACCCTGCCTAAAAATGACATCTGTACAGTAAAGAACAGAACCAAGAGATAGAGACAGATAGAGAGAGATAGAGACACAAATCCATCTGGTTACCAAGCAATCCCAATTAACTGCATTAGCTAATTTCCAGTTTAAGCTGGGTTTCTGGTGTGCACGACTGAAAGTATACGAAGTAATATGGTTGGTTATCGAATTATTTGCTTTTCACTTCCATTGTATATAAAATATTGTGAATACAGGAAAGATGTGCTACTGAATTTTATTGACCATCATAGCTATGTCTTTTTGTAAATATCCATTCTTCAGTAGAATTCCTGGCTTGAAGACAACAGCAAACTCTGTCTAGGGGTGTATATATCAGTTAAACATGCTATAACTTGAATTATATAATAACTGAAACCATATTCAAATTTCATAAAAAAAATACATTACTTTTTAGTGGTAACGGTAGTTCTTCCACCACTGGTGAATTGGTTATGAGATGAATATATTTCTTGTTTCAACTTTGAGAGTTCCTTACAAATAAAAGGCAATATAATCATTCAAAAATAGTAGAAACATGAGGTAAGAAGTATGTTTGATTATTTAACAAGGTTACTAAGGAAATTCTTTTTTCCTTCCTTTTTGGCCTTAAGATAAGAATATTCTAACCCCACTTGTTGAATACCAAATATTCTTGCTTCATGGTAGCTAATAAGTCACATTATATGCTTGTGCATGAGTCCACTAACTGGTATAGGATTTCTATATTTGAGGGGTAACATGAGATTGAATGAGTGAGGTTCTCAAGATGAAAGTATGGAAGTTTTTACCTAAAAAGCTGGAAAAGTATAGCCACAGCAGAAAAATATTGGAACTTTGATATGGAAGCAGCTACAGTGTCCTAACAGAGTCCAACACTGACCGTTAGTGCCAGTACCATTTGTTCAATAACAAAGTACAGTATTAGCCACCATTTTTGGTAGTTCCTTCCTTCAGAACTTTCTAATCTTTAGATTAGAAAAGATCCTGGGCTACATGCTACAGGTACAGAGAGAGATATAACAGTCTCTTGCTGAAGCAGCTAATAATCTAATAAGGAGCTCACAGTCTTACTGGGAGTTTCACTGCTAACGAGATAGAAAATCAATGTCTTAATAATATTAAATGCACAATAGGCCTTATTTTTGGCTTCAATTCTAGATTTTATTTAAAGTATTTCTCCTGAAATATGAATCTTCTACTTCACAGTCACTTTCCACTTCATGAAAAAAATGAGCCTTGGAAAACTGCTCTTTAGTTCACAGCAAGTATTTATCCTACAGGTTGAAGTTGTGCTGTTCATCTCCACCCTTACCCCTTTCTCTCTTACCTCTGACTGACGCTTTATAAGGGAATTCTTCTCTTCCAGCAAGCTTGTCAGTTCATGAAGTTTGAATTGGAAGTCACTGCAACTTCCTTCTCTTCTTGAAACATCTTTTTGGTAGTGGTTTAACTGAGTCTACAGATTTAAAAAGAAATAAAGATTATTGTAATACTTATTTACAAAATAGGTAACTGAGTTCCAGAAAGGTTGACATAAAGTCATGCAGCTCGTTATGAAATGGAGAGCAAAACACCAATATTTATAAGCATTCATAAAGTTTTATGAATATAAAATATGAATTGCAATGTCAATTGGGACTTTCTCATTTTTTAAAAGTGCCTTTACTATTTAGGGCTAAGCATTACCTAAGTAAAAGTCCTAGGCCACAATGATTAAAATAAAACTGAAAAAACAGGCATTTCAGATTCCTTCAAGTACTAATTAAGGAAAACTCAATAACAATAACAAATATTATATTATGATTTGCATTTCACAAAATATTCCTCCTGTGTGACTTATCTCAGTTTTCACAGCAGCTTTGTGCAGTAAGTATTATTATAATCTTCATTTACAAACAGGTACATGAGATCCAGAGAGGATAAATGATGCAGTCACACAGTTAGTGAGAAACACAGTTACAACTCCAAGACAGGTCTTCTGACTCTAAATCCTGTCCATTTTCCTCTTTACAACATTATATTTGCATAGGTGACTGTTAGATTAAAATTTTATTCATAATGTAGGGATGGAAAAGATGATGCTGGTGAAGGAATTCTGCCAGAAAAATCAGTAAGCTTTTGGACAAATTATATATCGTTTCACTTTTATTTTCAGTAAAGATTGTATATTGGTATTGGGAAAGAAGAATCTGATTGGTTTTTGCATTAAAATATTTAAGTATCTAACTACACTTAGGTATCAGTTAATTAAGAGTCAGTTTGACAAAATTACAGTATGAAGCAATGTATACTTATTCTCACAAATATCACCCTAATTTTGATGACAGTAACAATTCGACACTTTTTATCCTTGTGCTTGACAACATACTTGCTGTGTATCATCCCTCAAAGTCAAAGAAGGATTTTTATGAACCCACTGTGACTTTGCTGGATAATCTCATATGTTGCTCTTCCCTGCATAAACATGTTTAGGCAAGATCATAAAGGATACCTCCAACAACAACAAAAAATAAATGAATAAAAGTTAGAAACCAAAACCCTAAATTTATCTTCTTTTGCTTTCCTAGAGAAAATTAAGCTAAATTATCTTAAACAATTTAGCAATATTCTATACACTGTAATATGTATTTAAGCAAAAAGTTCTGTGTCATATTCCTAAAACTCTACCTTTAGTTGATTTATCTTTGTAGCTTTAAATTTAAACCATCATTATCTTATTAGAAAGTTTGTGCTGACCTGTGTATTATTTATGCAGTGTAGGATTAACATACCCTTAGCTTGCAGATCTCTCTGTCTTTCTCCATTCTTAAATTTTTTAGCATCTCCATGTAATGGTTGCCAATCTCATCCATTTTAGCCTGTAGCCTCAGGCCTGTGCAAGTCTCAGAAACCTACACAAGACAAAATAAATTTCTGTAATTTGATTGTTATGGTAGAAATGCATATTATATCACCATATTATTAGGAAAAAAAAGATGATTAAATAAGATATTAAAATAAGGAGAGCAACTTTTCAGGAATTGCATTATATAGCTCAAATGGCAGTGAGATAAGACCTAACTGCATGTGAGATCATCAGAAAGCAATGCATGTATTTTCTCAAGATGAACAGATCATTTTATATATATATATATATATATATATACACACATACATACACATATGTGTGTATGTATGTGTGTGTGTGTGTGTGTCTTCACTATTGCCAGTGCTAGGATTGCAGAGGTATAACTAATGAATAATATATATATAAAACAAAATTTTAGTACCTGTATTCTAAGATTTTTATTTTCTTGTTCTAAATTATGCTTACAATATTCCAGTTCTTTTAGTCTATATTCCATATCTGATAGTGTATGTCGAAGACAGAGATTGTTTTCTTCCAGTGCTTGGCATTTTGAGGTTGAGTCTTGAAGTCCTTGCTTTAAAGAAGACAAAAGTAAATGAAACAAGTGCATTTTACTTTTCGGGAGAGAGTGCTCTTTTAGTTGAATAATTCAATGAAATAAAGCAAATATTTTTCTATGCCCAGTTTTCTTACATATTTAACTTTAAATGGTGAGTTAAATCAGCTGTATAAGATATTAGATTCTTGCCTCTAGTCTGACTTGCCTGTCTTTAATAAGAAGGAATCAAAACTAGATGAATTTTCAGTGTACCAATTTAGCAATCTGACTTGTGCTCTTTGACAATACAGTACCCTGCCATCTAGTAGGCATCAAAATGGCCACATACCTAATTGTGTAACAACTGTAAACTAAGCAAAAATTGGGGACCATCATGAGAGAAAAGATGAGGAAGGGATCAGTCTTAGAGACTCACTATAATTTCTTAAGAATCCTCTCTGCTCAGACACCTGGAGAACATTTCTAAAGTTCATTCATTCATTTATTCATTGCACAAACATGTGTTAAGATCTACAAAACTTTTTTATCAACAATGTGAACTTAGACTTTTAGAATTTATACAGTTTTTATCACCCAACACCAATAATTGTGAATTGTATGTAGTTTATATCTAAATACATAAGGTTATGTGCTTTTCTATGAGGATTTTCAGTCACTGGAAATACCCCAAATCACTGAATTCTCATATGAACAAATTGTTCCATCATATTTTAATTGTGTCTGGATTTTATATCATAAGTCCAATGTGCCAGTAATTGTACATATGAAAAGCTATCAGTCTAATTTACTATCAATGAAAATATAACTTACCTGCTGTTGGCGATTATTTGCTCTCACTGATGCCAAGAGTTCTTCATACTCTTTTATTTGAGTTTCTTTGAATGCCAAGTCTTTGTCAAGGTTTATCTTGTCATTTTCCAGTAACTAGAAGCAAAATAATTTGTTATGACTCAGAAGTATAGAAACTTGTCAACAATCACATAATACAAAGACTTGTTTAGACTGGAAGGCTTAAATAAGCACTTGTTTTATTTATAGTTTATTAATAAAACAGAATTCTTTAAAGTCAAGCAAAATACAGAATATAGAAGGATTGAAACTTTAAAAACCTGCATTGAAAGGGATATTTTGATGGGCTGACTAATTCTAAGTGTAATGAAGCAGAACCTTCTGAAATATTTTAATGTTTTGCCCCAATCTACAAAGACTCCTCGTTAATCCCTGCATGTAGATTTTCAAAGTAGATTATAACTGTGTTCATCAGATTGCAGAAACAAAACATCCACTCTAATGTCCTCAAGAAGTTATTCACTGTATGGAAAGTATTCTGAAGTATCTAGCTAATGGCACAAAGAACACTAATTAAAATAGAGAACAGAAAAGGTTAAGTTCTTTGAAAAAGAAGTTTTCAAATATTCAAAGAAATTCAGAGTATGCTTTTTTAGTACAGAAAAGGGGGAAATTCCCATTCAATTAGTTAGATTTTTCTGATTTTACAAGCTACTTCTTGGCTTTAAGAATTAAATTACCTTCGTGGTAAATTAAATAATGAGTGCACACAACTTTTTTCATTTTCACATTACACAGCTCTTTTCTCCTCTGTCAACCCCAGTTAACTGTTTCAAGAAAATAACTATGTCTGGGTAAGCATAATATTGTGTTGTATTAAATTTTAAAACGGTAGGCTGAATTCTTTGATTTCTACATTAGGAGGTTAGGAACTGAAAGGTTTTGGAAAGAAAAATCAAAATAAATGTTACTGTCAAGTCATTCTGAAGATGTCCAAGCTCCTCCCGTATGTTACTGAATGTGGACAACACTAGCCGGAGTGATTTATCGCACATACCCCTCATCTAGAGGAAGAAAACAATTTATAGTTTATTTGTACTAGTGTTTAAAATCAGCAATATAAGTGATAATAATAAGTAATATAAGCAATATAAGTGATACAAGCAATTTTATAAACAGTTTTTGATATAGGAATATTGGAATATTAGAATAGTGATACAGGGCATTTTGTCAAAAGCATGCATAGGTAATTCAAGCAACATTCCTGAGGAGATCATAGCTATGTGATTAGAATAAGGGTCTATTATTTTTCCCATGATGAAGTATCATCTTTCTCATAAGACGGAAATCTATCAGCAAATTCTCAAATTTACTCTTATTCTTTGTTTAAAGATTAGAAAATATGAAGCAGTCAACCCTTAAATAATAAAATGTATCTACCTAAATGTGCTGCAAATGCATGGATTTTGTCTGAGGTGAGAAGAATATAATAGTAAGTCGAACTTTGAAGTATAGAAACATATCAAATTTTAAAGAGGAGGGGGGAAAATCCCTTTCAGTAGATTAAACTTATTTCTTCAAAGAAAAATGGTTTACAAACCAGGCAATTTCCATATCTAGAAAACTAGAGAAGTACTTTTCCCTATTCCTCTGCTAAATATAACCAAAAGCCCTGGATGTTATGTATAAAATAAATATAAAATGATTCTGAAAGGTGAAAAGAAGAAGGCTGGTTAGGAACACTGGGACCTGAGAAGTGACAACTGAAGTGAGTTCCTGGGTTTTCTTTTTGCATTATATATCATAATGGTTTGGGGAAAGCCAGTAACCCAGAAACATCAATGGATACAGACAAAAAAAAGTCCCTAGAAAAGCCTGCTTTCTCTGAATAAAGGACTGTGAAAAAGACCAGCCTAGCAAGGTAGAGGACTTTCAGATAATAACCAGTCTACTCCAGACAAATACCAAATGAAAAAATCTTCAACACTAATCTCACCTAAACCATCAAAGGCCAAAAAGGGAGCCTAAACTTTCCCCTTCAAGAGGTTCTAAAAGGATGGATCGACACTATTCACCAGGTTAGTGTTAGGGAAGGCAGGGTGGGGAGATGGGACTTTCATCCCCACTGGGCAAAGATGAGACCTCAAGCACTGTAGTTTGCTTGAGAATATGAAAGGAGCCTAGGCTTTCACCTTATCCAGCAGTAATGAGATACTGCTCTACCTCCCTGCTGGGATGATATCAGAGGATTCCTAGTGGACAGTCAGGACTTTGATCACTGCCTAATGGAAATGAGGCCACTCACCTTGCAGTATTAGTGGAGGCCAAATGGAGAACAGTAGTGAGGCACTCCTTTCTGTCCAAACTAGGGTGATAATAGTGGGGGCCTACTAGAGAGTCACAATTCCTATCCCCATCCAGGAGGAAACAAGGAACTCCTCCCCTGACCAGTGTCAACAGAGGTTAAGTGGTGACCCTGGACTCCAACCCCCAGCTGGTAGTAACCCCCACATCCTCTGTCACTTCAGCATCAGAGGAGGACTGCTAAAACAAGAATTGAATAAGATTCAGGATCATAACATAATACTCAAAATGTCCATGTTTCAATTAAAAAAGTCATAATTCCAAGAACCAGGAAAATCTCAACTTGATAAGAAAAACAATTAAAGGTGCCAACATCATGGAAACAGAAATGTTAGAGTTGTCTGACAAGGATTTTTTAAAGCAGCCATAATAAAAATACTTCAATAAGAAATTGCAGAAGTAAATTAAAAAATAGAAAGTCTCAGCAATGAAACAGAAAATCTCAAAAAAGAAATAAAGAAATAGAAGATATAAAGAAGAACTAAATGAAATTTTAGAACAGAAAAGCTCAATAAATAAAAAGAAAACAAAAGCCTCAATGGATGAATTAAAAAGCAGAATGAAGAGCACAAAGCAAAGAATCAGTGAACTTGAAGACAGAACAATAGAAAGTACTGAGTCTGAACATCAGAGAGAAAATTGATTGGAAAAAAAAACTGAACAGAGCTTTAGAGACCTGTGGAAATATAACACATATCTAACACGTATGTTATCAGAGTCCTAGAAGGAAAAAAGAAAGAGGGTGGAGATGAAAAAGTATTTGGAGAAATAATGGCTGAAAACTTCCCCAAGTTAGCAAAAATCATAAAAATACAGATTCAAGAAGTTGAGCAAAATCATAACAGAATAAACCCTCAGAAAAACCATGTCCAGACAAATCAAACTTCTTAAAACTAAAGATAAATTCTAAATCTTCAAAGCAGCAAGAGAAACCTTAACTATTAGGAATAACAATTCAAATAACAGAAGATTTCTCATCAGAAACCATGTAGGCTAGAAAGAGTGGCACACTGTTCTTAAGTGCTGAAAGAAAAGAATCATCAACTGCAAATTCTGTATCCAATGACAATGAAAATATCCTTAAGAATGAAGAGGAAATGACATTTTCAGATGAAGAAAAATGGAAAGAACTTGTCACCAGCAGACTTATCCTAAAAAAATGGCTAACAGAAGTCCCCTGAAGAGCAAGAAAATGATGAAAAGAAGGAATCTGTAACATTAAGAAGGAAGAGATAACTAAGTAAGCAAAAATATGGGTAAATAGAGTAGGTCTTCCTTCTCCTATTGTGTTTTCTAAATTATATTTGATGATTAGTGAAAATTATATCACTGATGTGGCTCTAAATGTATGTAGAGGAAATATTTAAGAATAATATGAATGTGGAAGGTAAAAAGAGATGAAGAAAACAACATTTTCTACAGTTCACGAAACTAATCAAATATTGACAACAGTACCTGGGACAAATTATGTATATATAATGTAATGCTTACAGCAACTACTGAAAAAGCTATCCTAAGAGAAACACTCAAAAGCACTAGAAGTAAATAAGAATGGAATTCTAAAACATGTTTAAATAATCCACAGGAAAGCAGGACAAAGAAAACAAAACGAAATAAAAATAGCCCTAAAATGTCATTAATTACAACTTCTTCTAAATATACCAATTAAAAGACAGAGCTTGACAGAGTGAGAAAAATAAATGACCCAACTGTGTGTTTTCTACAAGAAACTCACTTTAAGTATAATGAAAATTAATGTATATGCATATATATATTAATATATATTAATTTTTATTATACTTAAAAGGTTGGGGAAAAAAGATATACCATGTAAACATTAATCAAAAGAAAGCACGAGTGCTATATTGATATTAGATAAAAATGACTTCAGAGCAAAGAAAATTACCAGGGACACAGAGGGACATTACATAATGGTAAAAGTGTCAATCCACCAAGAGCACATAGCATTCCTGAATGTTAATGCACCAAAGAACAGAGCTTCAAAATGTATGAAACAAAACCTGATGTAACTGAAAGGAGAAATAGATCCACAGTTAAAACTGAAGACTTCCTTACCCCTTTCTCAGCAGCTGGTAAAATGAGTTGGCAGAAAATGAGCAAGAATATAGAACTCAACAACACAATGCCATCAACTGAAGGATCTAATCAGCAACAATAGAACACTCCATCTGACAACAGATACACATTCCTTTCTAGTGTTCATGGAACATATACCAAGATAGAACATATCCTTGACCATACAACAAAACTTAACTATTTCAAAAGAATTAATCTCATATGGAGTATGTTCTCTGATCACAATGGAATCAAACTAGAAGTAAATAACAGGACAGTGGGAATATCTCTAAACACTTGGAAACTAAACAGTGTACTTCTAAATAATCCACAGTCAAAGCAGAAGTCTAAAGGGAGATAAAAAATACATAAGTTAAAGAAAATGTAAATACATATACATTGTGGGGCATAGCTAAAGTGCTGTGGATATTTATAGCACTAAGTGCTTACATTAGAAAATAAGAGAGGTGTCAAATTAATAATCTAACTTCATATATCAAGAAACTAGCCAAAGAAAAGCAAAATAAACCAAAGCAAGTAAAGAAATGAAGTAATACAGACAAGAGCAAAAAATCAGTTAAAGTGGAAACCAGAAAACAAGAGAATATCAATAAAAGTAAAAATCTTGTTCTTTGAAAAAAATCAATAAAATTGATAAACCTCCAGCAACTGATGGAGAAAAAAAAAGAAGATACAAATTACTAGTATCAGGAATTAAACAGGGGATAATAATACAAATCCCCCAGACAGTAAAAGAACCATAAGAGAATACTATGAACAACTATATACACATAAATTTGAGAACTTAGATGAAATGGGCTACCTCCTTGAAAAACACAAACTACCAAAACCACCCAATATAAAACAGATCATGTGAACAAACTGATAACTATTAAGGAATTGAATTAAAAAATTTTTAAATCCCCCTCCCCCATAAAAATCTCAAGGTCCACATATTTTCACTTAAGGGTTGTATCAAATGTTTAAAGAATTAATACCAAGTCTATAGAATCTCTTTCAGAAAAAAAGAAAAGGAAGAAATACTTCCCAACGCATTTTATGAAGCTAGTATTATCCTGACACCAAGACCAAAGAGAATAAAAGGAAAGAAAACTACAGACTGGTGTCCCTCATAAACTTACATGCAAAAATCCTCAAGAGTTTTTCAAAGGAATAGGCCTTGAATGCATGTTGGATGGACATCCTCTCACCAGAGATAATACCAAGGATGTTTCCAAGACTGAGGTTCTGCAGAGCATTTGTGTTCCTTACTCCACTGTCTCTTTAAAATACAGACCATGTGCCACTAAAAATATTTCATTTATTATTTCACAGATATGACACCAGATCCAATATTTGATTGACCAACAAAGCTTTGACACCAAATTTCAAACTTAGAAATTGGCCTCACTAGACAAAACTAGATTATCTTCACAATTCTTTCTTTCAAACGTGTACTCATCTTTTTAGCCATATTTCCTTAGCACCTGTCTTAATCTGTCTCTTCCTTCACTGTAGGGTAATTTACTGCTCTAGTGGCCTCTAGCCTTATCCAATTCAAGGAAAGCAAGACATTGGCCTTTCCATCTTTCACTGTAGAGGGTAGAGTGGGAGGACTAGAAAATAGAATGCAGAAGAGGAAAGCAAAAGCCATAAATTAGAGTCACATTGTACTACAGCAGTGAGAGAGAAAAAGAGCATTCCACAGCAGGGAATAAGACAGAACACTTTCACAGTGCTTTCCTGAATACTAGTCATGCAAGGCTAGTCTTTGTGGGTCTGACTAAACTGTAATGGAACCCTTGTTTAATCAAAATATAATCAACTCTTGTGAAACAGGATTTTTATTTAGAACTTTATGTTCATAACTAACGAAAGCATCCTAGGCTCGCAGTTTGTTAGCTTGACAAACTTGACCCCACCTCACCTGCAGAATATAGCGAATTTGCTGTTTTGTAAACTCTGACAATCCATTAGGAATCAAGGATTCAATGTCTTCCGACTATAAGAAAAGACAATTTATCCATTGAACAGATATACATTGTATTTTGATCTTCGGGTCAGCAGTTCACACAGACTTTTGTGCAGCAGGTCATAATTTTTAGGGACATTGAAAGATTATTTCAATTTTTGCACAATAGTTACTTCAAACTTCCATTTCTAGCCTTATCAGTTCTTGGTTTTAAAAAAACAATTATATTGCATACACTATGGAAAGACCCCTGAATTCCCGGCATCTTAGGAAAAAGCTTTGGGCAACGAATCAGATGTTTCATTTCTATTTTTTAAAAACAGCAGTTTAAAAACAAAAGGATGGTCTCTTAAATCCCATTAAACACTTTATTTCAGTGTATCTTTCAACAACTGGACGTTTTGTTGGGTCATAGATATGCCACTCTAGAAGCTGATTTTTTAAATAATGAACATTTAGGGAAATAAAATAAAATTAATTTTTTTGAGAATTTACATAAAGCAGTGGTGTCGCTTAAAATAATATGTTGCCACAACAACACTAAGATGCTTCAACTAATTTTAAGTGAGAAGCTGAGTTTAAGCCAGTATGTCTTAAAGGCAATATAAGACTTATTGAGTTATTTTAATAAAAGCAGGGTATCAATATATTGGAAATAAAGAAAAATTAGCACTAAAGAGGCCATTATATTTTTTCATTACATTGAAAGCAGTTTCTTCTTTATTTGGTGACTTATTCCATTAGAAGTAATTATTAACAAAATGCACATATATAATGGAACTAATACTTGAAAAATAAAACATTTCAAGCTGCTGGCTATTTGGTATGGGGCACACAAGGTTCCAAAATACATTAAAACTAAAATTGATATTTACTTAGTTAATATATATTTCAGTTTTCTAAAGCAAACAGTATGTGGTCAGTGAAATTTTACATATTCTGATAACCAAAGACAAATTTAATCGTAAAGTGACATATGATAAAACATTTTTGTACGAATGATTACTTTTACAATTATTACTTGTACAGGCATTACAAAGATACAAATGGTTATATCATTTTAAAGGTGAAATGATCATTATTTCTTTTATTAACCTGTGTTTCCAGTCTAATAAAAGTACCAAACCAAAACAATATTATTACTGCAAATACCAGAATCTGCTTTGTTATCAACTATATTTGATTTTCAACTATTTTTGCACCTACGTGATCTGTAGACTCAAAGTCCTGTTTGCTGCAAGAAATGAAGAAAAAAATAAACTTAGGAAAATGTGTACATTGATCATATAAATTCTAGTGTTCCAATATTATCTTTATAATACACATAGCACCAATTCAATTTATAATCCAAAAGAAAATGTTTAAACTAAAATGACACTTGACAAAAAATAATTTACCTGGAGCTAGCTAATCTATTCAAAATAAACAACATCCCAGTAAAAAAAACAATAAAACGTACAGAATTAGTTACTGCCATCTATTAGCATCAGTCCATTGTGGCTGGATTTAGAAGTCCTTAGTGCTTGGCAATAAATGCCTGAATGAATAATAATAATAGTTGTTCTCTATTTCCATCTCCCTTTTCTCTTTGTATTGCTCCCTTTCAGTGCTGATTCCAGCTTCTCTCTGCAGTGTCTCCAAGTTATTCATACCCTTTTTTTCAAAATCAAAACTTGCAAGATTGAGTAACTCACTCATTCTATACTGTAATCTGTATGACACTGGCAAAGCTTTAAGTGTATTTGAATGTTTACATATGGACAGAGCCTTAAATATAACCAAAATCCTAGTGAAATAATAGAATTTCTGGCATCAAAAATGAGGGTTTGGCTATGAGGATTGGAAGGCCCTTTGTGGAGCCATGTTACATAGGCAAATGTTACAACAGACTTGTTAGTGATTATACCAGTCTGATACTTGCTCCTTTGGGGAATGGTGAAAGCTGCAAAGTTCTGATGTTGTCAGTGGCAACAGACAAGCCTTTATTTTTGCCTCCTTGTTCCCTCTGCACTTAGTTGAAGAACTGGGCCCAAAATACACATGGTGAACATACTTCTCAAACAAAAAAGCAGTATACATGTTCTGACAGTAAGACAGAATCTTTTAAAGTAAGACAGTCTTAGAAAATCATAGGCATATGATTACCATATCTTTACTACAACAGAAAAGTGTTTTAGAAATACAAGCTAGTACACTAGCTTTACCTTCTAAGTACTTATGACTAATATATTGCTTACAGAGATATGTGGGTCACTCACTATGCAAAGCCTCTTGCATGCATTTATAAAAAATAAACAAACTAATGTGGAGAAAGAGAACTGAAGATTCCATTTCCTGAGGCATGACTGCCTATGTGCAGTCATCTATATGTTTATATGTGGTATTTCCTGTGTTGCCCAAAATAGAAATTGTGAGGAAGACCTAGTCAAAAAATAAAACATAAATAAATATCTTCTACTGTACTAATATTTTACTTAAAATAACTTCATGAGCATATTGGAAATTAAAACAAGTTAAAAATAATGAATCACAATGCAGTTCTAGCAGTCTTTCATTACTATTGATTGGAATTATCACAGTATTAATAGATCTTTTATGTTTAAAATTCCAGTTCCAATACTAACCTAGTACACATGTACCTAGTTACTTCTTTCTATAAATAAGATAACAAAGAAACAAAACAAGGAACATTCTAAAGCACTTAATACTGGAATTTTTTAAAGTAACCAGAATGGTTTCATGAGACAACCTTTCTTAATTCTGACCCCGCACACACTCACTGCTGAGTTGTAATTTGGAAAGAGAAGAAAAGTGAGGACAAAAGGGGAGGGAGAGGGTGTAAACAAAGAAAGCAGAGCAGAAGGGTGGAAAGATCAATGTGGATTACATGCATTCAGTACTGGGGAATGGTGGCTAGAATTACATTGGGCAGAAAAAAAAGGAGGGGAAACTCACTATATACCATCTCACCTCCTAGGAGGGAGGGGATGTAACAAGGAAAAGCAAAAAGGAAAGAAAGGAAGGAGAGAGGGAAGGAATGAAGAGAAAGAAACTGGCAACCTTCTGAAAGAAACTCTTACACACCAACATTTTAAGACCCTCTTCCTTTTGGAGTGTTTACTATTGTGGAGACAGTAGTTGTCTGTTTCCTTATTGGTATTTGTAGCTACTCTAGGAATTACATTCAAAGTTTTGCAGTGCTTAACTACAGGTTTAAGTCACCCATGGAAATTTATCAAGACACCTCAATGAGAGAAAGTTGTTTCAAAACCCAGGATTACACCTTTACCTGGATGATCATTGTGTAATAAATTAAATTCCTTCATTCAGTTACTTTGTCTACTTCTAATCAGTATGAGAATAATAAATTTGAAATATGTTTAACTCTCATTCTATAAACCCTTATTGAGAAGACTTTGTCTAGGCTATGTGCTCTAAACTGTTTTGGGGCAATGCAAAATGAACATTATCTTGCCCTGTACTTCCTACAAACATAATTGTTCTGAGGCAAAATTTGAACAATGTAAAATTGATCTAAACCTTGTGACCTTTTCGAATCTGATGATCCAAAAAATATGATTTAACTTGTGTGCAATATCTTAAACAATTTGGAGATGCATAACCAGTATGGAAATGTTAAGTGATTTGCCTAAGAAGAAAAAGTTCTGAGAGTACAGGTTCTAGTTCCAGATTTTGCCACTTTGGAGCCTTAGGTAGGTGGTTCTCAAACTGGATCATGTATCAGAATCCTCTGTAGGGCTTGTTGCTGGGCCCTATCTCCAGAGACTGATTCTGTATGTCTGTTTCCAAATTCTCACATGATGCTGATGCTGCTTGTAAATGCACACCTTAGATCATTTATTACTTATAACAAATCTATGAGGTAAGTATTATTATTATTATCCCTTTTTATAGGTGAAGAAATTGAGATACAGAGAGGTTAAACAAGCTGCCTGATACTACACATCTAGTATGTAACAAAAGCACAGACATGAACTTAGGATACGAACTCTGGATCTAGAATCAGGGTACTTAAGACTATGTCCCTATATTCTATGGATTTTACAAAATGATGGTTTGATACAAATATTCACAAGGCATTAAATGTACAGAAGAGAAACACTGAGACCAAACTGAGTATCTAGAAAAGCTGAGTCAGTTTTTAGGTAAAGCAATAACCAAAAATGTTTAATCCATCTCAAGCACATAGTAGCTGTGTGACCTTAAGTTAGTAACTTACTCTCTTTGGGTCTCCATTTGAAACTTTCTAAGGTTGCTGTGCAAATTAGGTAATAAAGAAAAAGCACTGAGCACAGTGTTTGGCACATAGTGGACACTCAATAAATGACTACTCAAGACTGAGGGAAAAGCTTTTAAGGTAGTGACCTTGTGCAAATAGGTGAATGTGTGAAATAGTTTTTTGGGTATTGGGAGAGTGTGTTGATTAGTATAAAACTATGATGGAGGATTTATTAAAGATGGAAATTGTGTGCTTATAATGACCTCAAATAAATGGCTGCAATTCTTTTCTAACAGTGCTCAACAGTATGGATGTAGCAGTAAAGAGGGCATTCATTCATTCAACAGATATTTATAGATCATTACACTAAACCAGTCACCACACTAAGCACTAAGGAAACAAGGGTAAATAAAACACTCATGGAGCCTTCTGAATTCTAACTGTAGTGGGTTTTGTGTATTGGATGAGGACATGGTAATAAAAATAAATGATAAATAAAGCAGGAGGGCTAGACTAATCCACAGTTGAGATTTTGCTAAGTGGGACGGACACTAAGAACGTAAGGTAGTTGAAGGAGTGGTAAGAATTGTTGCAGTCAGGAATATGAAGGCAAGAAAAGTCAGGGAGTATGGAGCTAATAAATGGAGAGAAAGAGATGTAATAAATGGAGAGAAAAGAGATGGAAAAGAGATTCAAAATAAGTAGAAGAATCTAGTTAGTGAAGTCAGAACTTAAAAAAAAATTTCTATTGTCTTTCCTCTATCCTCCAGATTTTTCTGAATTTTTGGAACTCTTCCAGATTTTGCCTGATAGATGATGTGACTGTCTAGTAAAAGGCAACTTTTGGGGTGTAGCTTATAGAATTCACTTCATGACATAATATCCTCTCATATACACTTTAACATTTGATAATTTATGTGTATGTAGTTAAATATATAATTATACATATTATGTAATATATGATATGCATATTTATATAATTTATAAATTATATGTAATATATTAATATATGACACATAATAATATATAACACTAAATGTATATTAAACTCTGGCCTTTGTATGTTGAACACACATCAATGGAAGATAAATAGTAGTGTGTTGGCAGTGGGAATATAGCTTATATCATCAGTATAATATCTTAAAACAAGTCGTAGTATGCCACACATTTTTCCAGCTCCTTACCCAAGAGGTTGCATTTTGCCACCAAAGTACATTATGAAAGAAGGTACAAAGAATTCTTTTCTGATCCTAAATGGGCTGGTGTGATTTCTTTGATCATTTTCAGAAAATACATTAACTCTTAAAATAAGACATTTGCTCAGATCTTCTCATACAGTTACCCTGTTTCCCCATTAAAAGTACTAGACTTTTTCTGTGAACCTAAAACTGCTGTAAAAAATAGTCTAGTAACAGTGACTGCAATGGGGGTATGTCAGGGGGACTTGATAATATGAGTGAATATAGTAATCACAATGTTGCTCATGTGAAACCTTCATAAGATCGTATATCAATGATACCTTAATAAAAAAACAGTCTAGTAAAAGTATTATTGTGAAATGGTTGATAGCTACAAGATCAAGGCAAATGATATATTTACAGTACCTTCGTCCAATTCTCTGCAAATGTTCTAATAAGCAGTGGTATAGATCTGTATTTTTACGGCTTAGATCAGCAAGCAACTCTCCAAAATACTTGGGGTCCAATTTTTCAGGTTCATCATCCTGAATTATCACCTGAAGAAAATATCATCCACAATTATAAACAATATTGTTTATTAATTCACAGATGTTTTGATGTGAAATGAGAAAATGAAATAACTCATTAATATAAGTAACCCATTACAAAGTCAACACATGAATCAAGCCACTAAATTTTTTTTTTTTTTGCATGTGGGAGCATACATTTTTTCAATATGGGAGGAATTTAAAGGAGAAGCAACATTGCAATAACATTTTCAATTTCATTTCATTCAAGTCTAAGTGACCTAATGACTATAAAGCTTGAATAATTTATATAAAAGCTATTGAATATAGATGCTTAAATAAAACAGTATATAAAATAAGTAAATCAAAATCTCTGAATTGCCTGTTATCACCACATGCCTTACTCATCTGTCCCCTGTTAAAAAAGAAAATGTGAATTATTTGAATTATACTAACAGTAGAAGAATTAATTTCATTTGGACTTACCTCTTCTCAGGAAAAATCAACCTGACTTATTAGTATATCTTAAAGTTAGATTAAGTCAACATTCACAATTCAATGTGTTTTTATGTAATTCTTGTTGGATTCCCTACAGTTGTTATTTATAATAAACATCTAGTCAGTCTGACATGGGAAAGAAGAGCTCATGACCAAATTTAGAAAATTTGGGATCTCAGAGACATTTGAAATCTTAGCACAAATTACTATGAATAATGTCCTAAATAAAACCTTGACTTCATGTCCTTTGGTACCAATCTTTTAAGTATTGTTGACCAACTTGCCTCCCACCCCAAAACAATACTACCTAGAGATTAATAACAGCTTGCATTCCATACTACCTTTAATATTGCATATAGGACTGAAGGTGCACTATAAACACATTTATTCCTAAGTGTGTATATATATATGATAAGTGAACTTCAAATCTGATCACTGATACTTCCGTTTCAATCTGTTCTCTGAATGCAGACCCTAAAATGTCATGCACGCTAAGGTAAATGGAAGGGTTGCAAACTAAGCAAAGATGAGCTTTCATAACAATGTCTGTGGATATGTCATTTATAAAACACAGATTAATGGAAAAAGCCACATTCAAAATTAACAGTATCACTATGTTTTTATTAAGATACATATTTTTTTCATATTTTTAGAAGTCTGGATGAATGCACCACAATGTTCTTGTCTATGTACCCTTTGAAGTTCCTTTCCTAGAGAAGTAATGATTGCCTCCTAAACAGACTAAAGTTTCCTATATGAAGGCATGAGTAGATGGATAAACTGGCAAAGTCAATATCATCATGCAGTATGTTTGTATGTCATAGAATGTATAAGTTGTACATATTCAATATACAACCTCTAAATACTTACACGAATATAGTAACACTTTCTATTTCCCAACATGTTCTCTGTTCTAGTCATAGTAGATTTCACTGTTCTGGGGACACATCCTGATATTCCTGACTCTGGTCTTTACTCACATTTTTTGCTGCTTTGAATACTGTCTCTCCTTCTTGTTGTGTATCCAAATCTTACCCATCCTTTGAACTCCATCTCAAGATCTACTACCACCATCAAAACTCAAACTATACCAGCCAACAAGCCAATTGAATTCAGCTCTTTGTGTTCAATTTTCTTTGTTTTCATAATATTTTGCATATGTAAATCTTGTTGTCTCAGCACCTCTGCCTACCCAAAAGAAATAATCTTAAGACTAAAAATGAGTCATACTTTTTGGTATATCCCATAGTATCTTGCGCAATACTAATTGAACATCCTATAGTTGCTCAATAAGTACTTGTTATCTACCTGGTTAGAACTGACCCCAAATGCCAGCTAAATCTGGAAATAACTTTCTTACTTTAAGGTTTCTCTATTAAAGCAGCTTGCCAACAATTGTTAAGAAAAGCCAAAAAGAGCATAGGCAGCACTTCCTCAAGAATACTGTGGTGATCCTTTAAATCCTCTTCCTAAATTTGGTAAGTCTAATTACAGCAACTAAACTGAGCTCCTTATGGAGTTGGAAACTAACAATTGAGTTGTACCTGGATTTCTAGATCTTGGAGTCATCTCCTTGGTGACAGACCCCTCTCAGGAAATGAAAGTCAAAATTAGACAAGCCTTCATTCAGAATAACCATGAATACTTTTGATTTCATGTTTTATTCATGCATTCCTCCCTTATGGGCCATCTACATCTTAACCAAACTGGGAGTGGCCTAAAAACATGGCTTCAAATATGATTTTAAAAATCAAGGTTAACTGGATAAGAGGAAACTCTAGCTGCATGTCAATATTATTCCATTAATGTTCAGATTATTTCATTGCTGAAGCTGGTCAAGTAGATACCCACTGCATGACTTGCCTATCTCTGTGTATCCCTTCTAAAACTGTAACTTTCTCAAGAAGAAGGCATTTCGTTAGCTAAAGATATTCAACTACTAAGCTCCCCTGTTAGAATCTCTGAAAAGCTAATTTTATAGGTTTAGTATTTTGCGTATTATTCTCTCTTAGCTGGTTATAATCACTTCATAATGCTGTGAATATCATGTTTTTTCCTTCCAATTTGATTCATTTGTGTCTTAAAATATTTATTTCTTTTTTATTTTGGCACAAACATTCTCCTGTCATTGCACTGCATGCTAGTAGACCTTTCAGGTGCATAATTCCTTACCGACATGAATCTTTAGTGCCATTACTAAAATTTTTGCTCCCCTAATTTCTATGTGGTGGACCCAAATAAAGAATCAGAGTCCAGGGCAAGGAATGATTTATATCAACATTGCGTCTGTGTTCATAGCTAGAAAGATGTGTTAAAAATTACCAAAAAGCAATGGTTTTATTTTGAGAAATAGTAATAATAACTAACATTTATGGAGCCTTTTCTACATGCCAAGCATTGTGCTATGAACTTTGCATATAAAGATTAAGTTAGTGCTCTCTTGTAACCATTACACAATATTGCCTTCCCAAGTGACCTCTTGTGTCTGTTTTCTCAGCTACTTTGGAATTACCTTGTTGCTAACTGCATTATTTTGGAGGTTTGTTGGGTTAGGACTTAAAACAGTAAGGAGTTTTATTTTCTTAGTGTGTAAATATGCAAAATATGTGTGAAGTTCAGGTAATAAATTTTAATCAACTGGAGAAAAGTAAGGGCATTAGAATTGAAGAATGGGTTTTTGGCAAAAGAGATGTCAAGGTAGAAAAGCAGCAACTAAAATGTCACCCCTTTGCATATGAATTTCTCCTGTTTTGTACAGTCTACAATTTACCGTAACATTGGGGTAACATTCACTAAAAACCAAAACCAAGATGGGTTCAAAAGTTTGCAGAGGAGTGGGCAGACAGACATCAGATTCTCATCTACTGCTAATTCTTTAACAGGACTGTGCTCAACAATAAGATGAAATTTCCTAACCATAAACTATGATGTGCCAGTTAGCAATATTTTCCATTAGTGAATCACATGTGTTTAGAGCTTCTTAGTTTTATTGGAACTGTTTGTAGGTATGTTTCAACAAATTTTTTAGAGTTAACTCAAATCCATATTCTTGTTGCCTTGAAAAAGCCAAGATAGGGAGCCTTCCAAGGTCATAGTAATGGTAGCTATACTGGATGGAAGTTTTTCTCTGTGTAACAGTATTGAGCAGATAAAATATGTGATCTATAGGCATACCCCATATCTGCCCTTTGCCTGATGAATGAGTGCTATATTGAATGTCAATCTTGGATAACAGCTTTAGCTTTTAATATGTAAACAGGGCAGGAATACAAACTGTGCTGAATAATAGCTGCTCCCAGATACACAAAATGTGATATTTCTGAAAAATATTACAAAAATTACATAAGGTTCTTTAGCATACATCAGTCAAATACCTTTAATTAGATCACATTTGACTAAAATAATAGCCAAGCAGTCCAACTCCTTGTCTGGGACTACACATAAAAAACCTTTGATTAGAATTGCTGCTGCATACCTAAGGCAAGGCAACAATGTTTAGGGATGAAATGAGAGGCAAATTAGTGGTCATTTTTCAGAAAATCTGTAGAAAGTACCCTGTAAAGGAAAACCATGGGCCTCACCTTACTACTGCTTTAGAAGTTTTTGTCCTTGTTTGTGGTCTATAAGTTTCCAAGAGTGGAATTTCCTTGCTAACATCTATATTATATAAACTTTGATATCCAAAGATGATACTTTTAATCAACCATATTTACAAAGTTAGGTGGTAATGATTATAGAGCCCTGCAGATAGTAGACACACAGTAATTAATGGGTTTTGGCTATCTGTATTTTCTTGCCTGGCTCCTTTCAAGCATAATGGCAAACATTTGTAGAATGCTGCTTAGGACTGGGTATAGTTTGTGATCAAGGTATAAATCACTGTCTAGTAGTACAGGGTGTTGGCTTAATTAAAATTATTCCCACTAGGTAACTGGTTTAAGTGTGTGCATTTTTCACCTGTTTAGAAGGGCTGCTTAGCAAATTATAACGTGCTTAAGATGCCATGTTGTTTAAAAGTGACTATACATAAATGTCTAGCCTTCTAAAAGGTCATGATATGTTAAGTAACATAGCAGTGCTTAGACCGTATTGGGTAGTAATTTTTTGCTACAAGACAATAGAAAACATTATTATTAATAAAGTTTCCAATGTATAAACTATTATCCTGCAAAGCTCATAATGATACAGTGAAGTTTGTAGACGAATAAGGTTACTGCTTCATTAATTTTGCCTAGATTTGGGATGTTCTTAATAGCTGTCAGACTGATTGAAACTACAGTTAATCTAGTGGGCATTACTCCCTATGAAATTAAATGTATTCTGAATAGTCATTTGACCAGTAGGGGAAAAAATAATTGGTCTCTTCCTATTTTGTATCACAAGAAAAAATCCTACTAGGAGAAAAAGTATCAGAATTTTGGTTTCTAAAAATCCTGTTATTTTTATCTCCATAATATTTTAGTAAAGAAATGTTGCATTATATAGTACATGGTACATATAAAATTTTAATAACTGTCACTGAATTTAATGTA